GAAGGCTGGAGGGAACCACCGCTGGTGGCAAAGAGCCGGAGGGCCTCGTTCCAGTGGGACTGAATCACAGCCTGGAAGAGGCTGACCAACACAGACCGCTGAGCCTCCAGGCACCGGTACCTGACCTGGCACTCTGCTTGGAAAGCCCATGCTCCTAGTCCTCAGTGAGGTGCTTCTGCTGAGCCTCCTTCTCGGCCAGATCCAACTTGAACTGAGCTCTTTTGCCAACTCTTTCTCCTGGTGGCTGCTTAGCTCCAGCAACTGCTTCCTCTTGGAGCCCTAAGGAGCCTGGTTCGGCAGGTCGGGAGGGGCAAGTAGAGACTGGCGAGGCGCGCCTTGACGTGAGTGACATCGAGTTGGCCACGCCCACCCAGTCACATGACCACCCAGCCACGCCCACCCAGCCGGTCATTAGGCAGATCATATTAGTGGTCCGCGGGATTTAAAATTATGAATTTAGTGGTCCCTGAGGTCCGAAAGGTTGGGGACCCCTGCCCCAAATGACGGTTCATTTAGAACCCCAGGCAGTTGGACAAGCCCAGAACCCTGGGGAAGGAGAGGGCTTGGCTACCTGTGGTCTCCACGGTGTCCTGTTTCTTCGCTGTCCCCTTTGTGTTGATTTCGCAGCTGATGTGATAGAAAGTGAACAGCAAGTGGTGCTTCTGATGAAGATGCATCGGAAGCTGGATTTTGATCTAGGCGACAGGAGGGGTTGGAAAGGCTGAATTCCCCCATGATTTCATTTTTTTTAATTAAAAAAAAAAAAGCATTTTCTCTTTTCCAGCTGGGGAATTCTGGGAGCCGAAGTCCACCCGTTCTTAGAGTTGCACAAGTTTGAAAAACTTGGATCAAAAATCAAAGGAGGAGCCTTACGCTCTATAAATAGATCATCTGCTTTCTCCTTATTTTTCATGAAACCCCGAGATAATTCAACCACCTCCTTCTCCTCTGCTGGTTCTTTCTTTTTTTTTTTTTCCTCACCTCATCGTAAAACTCGGGGCTCTGGCTGTGGTGCAAGACACAAGCGTAGGCGTGCGAGGTGAGCAGAGGCCCTCCGGGTTTGCCGTAGAAGCACTGCGGGACGTAACGAGAACGCCGTGAGGTTGGGAGGAAGAAGAAGACTCAGAAGGCATTGAGGATCTCCTCCTGGGACCACCCAAAGTCCTTCCCTCACTTCCTCTGCAACCCTGCTCAGTTTGGGTCTTATCGGAATTGGGGCCCATGAAGGGGAGATCTTATCACACCGAATCCCACTGCCAGGATTCAGACGGTGGTGGGAAAGATCTCTTGATCTCAGAGTGGCCAGGTCTAGGAGAACCAAGGTTGAAGAGCCCCAACTGAGGTCAACTAGCTCCCTCTAGTGGGAATTCTGCACCAGCTGATGGACCTTCTGTCTTGGTTCCCAATTGGGCCTCTTGACCAAGATCTAAAGCCTCCTCTGTGCCAAGCACCTGCAAAACTCAAGAAGCTCCCCCAATCGCCATGACCGGAGATCAGCTGGCAGATGGATAGCATGGCACGACAAAACCGCACTCGACTAAAGCGCGCCCGATTAAACCGCGTTGCGGACGTCATCAACAGGGCGACAACAGCGAGCGCTGAGAAAGAAGGGCGCTTTAAAAAGCGCTTTGAAAGCAAGCCGATTCAACTTAAGGTAAGGGTTAGGTTTAGGGTTAGGTTTAGAGTTAGGTTTAGGTTTAGGTTAAGGGTTAGGTTTAGGTTTAGGTTTAGGTTTAGGGTTAGGTTAAGGGTTAGGGATTAGGTTTAGGTTTAGGTTTAGGTTTAGG